CCCACGGATGAGGGTCCCGGCCCGCAGCTCTCCGTCTGGGTGGGTCCCCCACAGCCACGAGTGGGCCCAGAACGCTAGGTGTATATACAACACTGCTGCTTTGTCGGTCAGCTAAAAACTAGGAGAACCTGAATTTGTAGGGATTTTTTTTTTTTTTTAAAGATTTTATTTATTTATTTGACAGAGAGAGAGAGACAGCGAGGGCAGGAACACAAGCAGGGGGAGTGGGAGAGGGAGAGGCAGGCTTCCTGCTGAGCAGGGAGCCCGATGTGGGACTCGATCCCAGGATCCTGGGATCATGACCTGAGCCAAAGGCAGACGCTTAACGACTGAGCCACCCAGGCGCCCTTGATTTTTTTTTTTTTAAATCACGGTCCACACCTGTCACAGCAAGCAGCCCTCTTAAAAATGAAGTAAACCCTTTGTGCACTGAAATAGAAAATGGGTCTAAATACATTGTTTGGGAAGAAAAGCTGAGTTCAGAACCAGAATGTACCATCTGATCTTACACCTGTTGGATGAGTTTAGTTCTTTTTTTTTTTTAAAGATTTTATTTATTTGACAGAGAGAAACACAGCGAGAGAGGGAACACAAGCAGAGGGAGGGGGAGAGGGAGAAGCAGGCTTCCCGCCGAGCAGAGAGCCCGATGCGGGTCTCGATCCCAAGACCCTGGGATCACGACCTGAGCCAAAGGCAGATGCTTAACGACTGAGCCACCCAGGCGCCCAAGTTGGATGAGTTTAGATAAGAGCCTGCAGGAATACAGTAGTTATCTCTGGAAAGGGAAACCAGGGAAATTTTGATTTTACAGTGTATAATTGTCACTGTGATTTGTTTTTTTGTTTATTTGTTTTGGGGTTTTTGTGAGTTTTTTTGTTTTGTTTTTGTTTTTGTTTTTACTTTTAGCACAAACAGGTATTTATTTTGATTAAATGGAAAGACAAAAACAATAAGGTAGAATGGACACAAGTTCTCCAAATAGACCACTGGTAGCCCGTTAGATGCTGCCACATCATTCCAGCATCCCACTGAGGGCATTAATCACTTACGGCCACTCTCTGTACCCAGCACCATTCCAAGCCCTTCGTTTGTAATCACTCTTTAAACCTCACAACACCCATAAGGTTGGTACCAATGTTGGAGTGGTTAAGTGAGCAGACTCTGGACCCTCTCTGCCTGCGTTCAAATCTTGGCTCTTCCACTGCCTAGCCTCGTGACCTTATGTTATTTGAGCTCTCTGTAACTCCGGTTTCCTCATTTGTAAAAAAAGGAATCATGATAGGTCCAGATTTTACCACAATTAACAGCATCCTCCTCTTCTTTCATGCCAGCTATGAAGTTAAGACATATATACGTGTGTGTGTGTGTGTGTGTACGTTCGTGTATGTACAAACACATAGCATGTGTGAGAGAGAATGTTTGATGACCCCTATCATTTCTCGGTGCATAAGCATGGGGACAAGCCAGTTCTGTTTTTAGAGAATTTATGAATGATTTTAGTTTAAATTAGTTGCATGATTTTTTTGTTTGTTTTCTTATAAGTAACTTGATTTTTTTCATCATACAAGTAATAGTATTTTGGCAAAAAAAAAAGTCATAACATACAATTAAGTAAGAAAGACTAAAATTATCCATAATCCCCAAACCTAGGGATAAATTTTACACATTAACTATATATTTCTAATCCTCAAATTTACAGTGATTTAAGCCTCACTTTCTTAGTCTATTATATTTTATGATTCTCAGCCTATGTCAAAAGTGTACACTTTCAATATCAATGGCTACACGGTTTTTAGTATATGAACATACTATAATCTCCACTAGAAATTTGAGAGCCTGACCTTTTCAATGACAAAGAACACATCTGTAGCAAAATGATACATTTAACAGAAACTTTTCCCTCCGTCTTTCCTAGCAGAGATTCATCCATAGTCAACATAATGGAAAATCCTAAGATTTATGACTCTTTTCAACATGAACTTGAGGATTATGTTAGAAAGCAGAAAGCCAGAGGATTACAACCAGAAGTTTGCTTTAGAAAGGTGACAGAAGACTCTGCGTACAGAGAAAGGGGCCACACTGCACCCAGACGTCTGATGCTGGAGCAGGGACCCTCCTTCAGGAGGACCCACACTTTCTCTAGTTCCCACACAAGGCAGAGAACAGCGGAAAACCAGTTAGCCCCATGGCCCAAACGTCATCACTCCAGACAAAGATTGGAACCTCTGAGCCACTGTCAGAAAACACATGGTCATTTCTCCAAGAATCTGTGGCTTACAAGGCCACCTGTGCAAGGAAAGACCCCTGACCCCCATGCTGCACAACGCAGGAAAGATACCAACCGCCTCTGGGAGAAGAGTCCCACCAGAGCCCATCAGGCCAGAGATCAAGATCAAGGCCAGGGGAGAAGGTTCAGGGTGGAGGGAAGAGGAGGACGAGACAAGGAGGAGTGGGGAGGGGGGACTACAAAGCATCTTGAGGATGGAGAGTCCCATAAAGAGAACAAGAAAAAGGCCAAGGTGCAGCCAGTCAGCACAGAGAAACCCAAACACAGAAAGAAGTGTAACCAAGACACCACAAAGGAGGGACGAAGATCCCAGAGAGAGAAGCAACCTGGCAAAGAAAGCACGTAGGAGAGGGACTTGTGGGATGAAGCTATCCTCGGCAGTTGTTACTGATGGTGGGGATTTGGGACCCCCAATATTAAATGATTTGGATATATTGGAAAGGTTGGATTAAATGACATTGAAGCGGGCGCCTGGGTGGCTCAGTTGGTTAAGCAACTGCCTTCGGCTCAGGTCATGATCCTGGAGTCCCAGGATCGAGTCCCGCATCGGGCTCCCTGCTCGGCGGGGAGTCTGCTTCTCCCTCTGACCCTCCTCCCTCTCATGCTCTCTGTCTCTCATTCTCTGTCTCTCAAATAAATAAATAAAATCTTTAAAAAAAAATGACATTGAAGCAATTCTGTGACCAACACTTGGAAGAAAATAAAATTTGATCCCCACCTCAGATTTATATTCAAATATAAAACACAGATGGCTTAATGATGTCAGTGTAAAAACTAAAATATGAAACTGTTAGGAGAAAATATAGGAAGATTGTGTTTAATTTTGGAGTGTGAATGGTATTCCTGAATGAGACACATTATTCAGGATCCCTGAAGATGAAAAAATAATAAATGTAATTGCAGAAACATTTAAAATCTGTATAACAGAACATCTTTTTGTAAACTTTCTTAGAACAAATTAAAAGATAAGTGTTGTATATATGCATAGAACACCTCCAGAGAGATACACTGAACTGTTGGCTCTGGGGGCAAAAACCAAGTGGGTGGGGGACAGAGGTGGCAGGTAGACTAACTTTTCAGTGTTCTTTTCTTTCTCTTTTGAATTTGGTAGTATCTAATACCTGTTTTGTTTTGTTTTTTAAGATTTTTTAAATTTTTAAGTAATCTCTACAACCAACTTGGGGCTTGAACTCACAGCCCTGAGATCGAGTCGCCCACTCCACCCACTGAGCCAGCCAGGTACACCAAGATCATTACCTTTTAAAAAAATATCTTTTTTAAAGATTTTATTTATTTATTTGAGAGAGAGAGAGACACAGTGAGAGAAGGAACACAAGCAGGGGGAGTGGGAGAGGAAGAGGCAGGCTTCCCACCGAGCAGGGAGCCCGATGCGGGGCTTAATCTCAGGACCCTGGGATCATGACCTGAGCTGAAGGCAGACGCTTAACGACTGAGCCACCCAGGTGCCCCTAAGCAAATATTTTTTACAGGCAAGCAACACACTGGGAAAAAACATTTGCAACACTCTATATTAATATCTCTTGTGTCAGTTATCGAATTATTGCTTCTTATCTCCAAACAGCTGCTTTGGCCCTCTGTTAAACTGGACCCTGGAAACTGGTCTCCTTTGCCAGCTAGCTTGATGTTATTCTTAGCCAGTAGAAGGCGCTGGAGGGACATTGTAAACTGGGAGCAGGAGGGACCTTTCCTTTTCCTGAGGTTGCTGGTTTCCCGTAGCAGCAAGTCCTTGCCTTTGTGTGTGTGATGTAGCTGCAGTCCACGCCCTGTGACAAATTTTTTGTGTCTGGTAGGCTGTGTGATCTGTGTGTTCCATATTCTCTCTGCAGTGGTCCAAATCTCAGTCATGTGGGGAGCCCCTCTTCCAGGTTTCTCTCTTTCTTCCATGTTCACCTCCCTCAAGGGTCAAGGGTAGGCAAACTGCAGCCTACAGTCCAAATCCAGCCCCCTGCCTGTTTTTGTACTGCCCCCATCTAAGAATAGTTCTTACATTTGAACCCCAACTAAGCAAAAGGTTATCCCAACGAAGTGGATCCCATTCTTCTCATTAAAGAACTTAATTCCAAAGCTTATACTCACTTACTATTATATTTTTATTTATTATTTTTTAAAGATTTTATTTATTTACTTATTTGAGAGAGAGTGTGTGAGTGCAAGTGCAAATTGGGGGAGGGGCTGAAGAGAGGGAGAGAATCTTAAGCAGATTCCACCCCGACCCCAGAACCACACTCAGGGCTCCATCTCACAACCCTGAGATCATGACCTGAGCTGAAATCAAGAGTCAGGCGCTTAACTGACTGAGCCACCCAGACACCCCTACTATTATATTTTTAATTTTATCAATACAAAGGTTGTGGAGATTTGTATTCTGTATTGTTATACATAAATATTCCACAGAGCCTAAAATATTTACTACCTGGCCCTTTACAGAAAAAGTTTGCCAATCCCTTGCCTCAGAGTCTACTTGTACCACTTTGGTAGTTAACAACATTTTATTAGTTTAAATTTTTTTATATTTAATTTTCTCTGTTTAAATTACTAGGATGGTTTGCATTCTGATTGAGCCCTAACTGATATAGCCCTAAAAGACAAATAGCATTTACCAATTAATAAGAAAATATAAACAACTCAACAGAAAAATAGGCATTTACCTATACATTTAGTTAACAAATACTAAATTCCAGTTGTTGTTCCAGGTACTGAGATAAAACAGAGAATGAAATACAAATGAGATACAAAGATGGAAAGAAGAGAGGAAGGCTTTGTTGATGTACAAAATGGAGCTCATTTCTGGGCTTGCGTCATGATGAGCAGGTAACTCACCTGGATGTAGGCCTGGAAGGAATTTGAGAATCTTGGAGGTTGTGGGAGTATTCATTGTTTGCTGATTGGTACCATCCCACAGTTGTTGAACATCTGGCGTCCCTAACCCCACCTACAAAATGCCAGTAGCTCCTTCTCCCCACCTAAATGTTGAGACAATCAACATAGGCCCCCATAAATTTACAAAATGTGCCCCCTCCCAGAGTTTCCTACTCACTCTGAGAAAGCCTGGCTTAGCTCCTGGAAGTTCAACTGAGAGTTTAAAATCAGATCCCTGATTTCCTTTGTCCCTGATGACAACCCAGTTATGCAGGCAAGGCTGGTATCTTAACCCCATTTATCAGATGAGGAAATCAAGGCCTGAGGGCTGGAAGAACCAAGAAAGTATTCTAATCAAGATTCTCTGATACCTGACCCACTGTTCTTTCCACCCACCTTTGTTTCCAAATGTTACTTTAAGCAATGCACAGACCATGAAATGACACAAGGAGGTTACTCACTTTGTTCTCTTTCCCTCCATGTGCTCTGCAAGGAGAAAGTCTCCATTCAGTGCAAGGAGTGAGACCCCCCTCGAGGAATGCAAGGTTAGTTCAACATAAGAAAATCAATCAATCTACCACATTAATAGAACAAAGGGAAAAAATCCTCAATCGAAGCAGAAAAAGCATTTGATGAAATCCAATACCCTTTCATGGTAAAAAATACTCAGAAAACTAACAATAGATGGGACTTCCTCAACGTGATAAAATATACTTAGGAAAAAATGTAGCTAACACCATATTTGATGACAGAAGACTAAAAACTTCTCTAAGATCAGCAATGAGATACAGATACCTACTCTCATCACTCCTATTCAATATTATATTTCTAATTTTACCAGAGCAATTAAAGAAGAAAAAGAATTAAAGGCATCCAAACTGGAAAGAAAAAACTATCTCTACTCTCAGATGGCATGATCCTATATATAGAAAAATCTCAATCCACAAAAAAACTGCTAGAGCTAATAAAATCGGCAAAGTTGCAGGGTACAAAAGCAACACACAAAAATCAGTTGTGTTTCTATACCCCAGCAATGAACAATCTAAAAAGGAAAATTTTTAAACATTTCATTTATAATAGAATTCCCCCCAAAATACCAAAGAATAAATTTAACCAAGAAGGTCAAGGATTGTACACTGAAAACTAAAAAATATTGCTGAAGGAAATTAAGGAAGATTCAAATAAATGGAAAGACATCCTGTGTTCATGGATTATAAAACTTAATACTGTTAAGATGGCAATACTATCCAAAGCAATCTACAGATTAAATGCAATCCCATCAAAATTCCAATAGGCTTTTTTGCAGAAATGGAAAAGATGATCTTCCAATTCATATTGAAAATATAAGGGGCCCTAGATACTAAAATTTTTTTTAAAAAATTTTATTTATTTATTTGAGAGAGAGAGCGTGTGAGAGAAAGAAAGAGAGAGATCAGAGCAGGGTGGAGGGGCAGAGGGAGAAGCAGACTCCCCGCTGAGCAGGGAGCCTGATGCAGGACTCAATCCCAGGATTCCAAGATCATGACCTGAGCTGAAGGCAGGCGCTTAACAGACTGAGCCACCCAGGCACCCATAAAATAACTTTTAAAAGCCACCCAGGCGCCCATAAAATAACATTTAAAAAGAAGGACAAAGTTGAACAACCCATACTTGCCGATTTCTTTTCACACTTCCTGATTTTAAAACTTATTACAAAGCTACATGTAGTAGTAAGGAGAGATAGAATCAATAGGATATCAATAGGATATATACGATATATACATATATATTATATGATTTATTATAAGGTATTGGCTTATGCAATAAAGGAGGCTGAGAAGTCCCATGAAACGCTGTCTGCAAGCTGGATACCCAGGAGAGCAAATTGTATTGTTTGAAGGCCTAAGAGCCGGAGGGCCAGTGATGTAAATTCCAGTCCAAGTTCAAAGGCCTGAGAACCAGGATTGTGGGGGGCAAGAGAAGAAGGATGTCCCAGCTCAGGCAGACAGGCAGAGGGAGGGCAAATCTAACTTTTCTCCACCTTTTTGTTTTATTCAGGCCCTTGGTGAATTAGAGGATACACATCCATATTGGGAAAGGCCATCTACTTTACTCAGTACACCAATTCAAATGCTAATCTCTTCCAGATACAACCTCACAGACACACCCAGAAATAAAGTTTAATCAGATATCTGGGCATTTGTGGCCTAGCCAAGTTGACATAAAATTAACCATCCCATTACAGCAATCAAAACAGTGTACTGCTGCCATAAAGACAGACATGTAGATCAGTGGAATAGAATTGGGAATCTAGAAATAAGCCCGTACATTTATGGTCAATTGACCTTCAACAAGGGTGCAAAGACTTCAGTGGGGAAAGAGGAGTCTCTTCAATAAATGATGCCAAGACAACTTGCAGAAGAATGAAGTTGGATTCCTACCTCACACCATAAGCAAAAACAAACTCAAAATGGATCAGGAACTGAAATATAAACGCTAAAATTATAAAACTCTTAGGAGAAAACATCAAAGTAAATATTATAACCTTGGACTTAGCAATGGATTCTGAGATAGACACCAAAAGCATGAACAACAAAAGAAAAATACATAAATTGAACTTCATCAAAATTAAAAAGTTTTGTGCGTTAAAGGACATTAAAAGTGAAAAGACAACCAACAGTACAAGAGAAAATATTTGCAAATCATGTATCAGAGAAGGGTCTAGTATCCAAAATATATAAAGAGCTCTTATAACTCAATAACAAAAAGGCAACCCAATTTTTAAAATGAGTAAAGAATTTGAATAGACATACAAAGAAGAGATACAAATGACCAATAAGCACATGAAAAGAGGTCTAATATTAATCATTTGGGAAATGCAAATTAAAACCACAGTGAGATATCCCATCACAGCCATTAAGATGGGTATATTTAAAAAAAAAAAAAAAGTAACAAGTGTCCGCGAGGACATGGGAAATTAGAGCCCTCATACATTATTGGTAAGAATGTAAAATGGTGCAACTCCATGGAAAATAGATGGGCAGTTCCTCAAAAAGTTAAACATAGAAATACCATACAACTGAGCAATTACACCCCTACGTATATACCCAAAAGAACTGAAAACAAGTACTCAAATACGTATTTGTACAAGAATGTTTATAGCAGCCTTATTCACAATAGCCAAAAGTAGAAATAACCCAAATGTCCATTAATAGATGAATCTATAAGCAAATTGTCTTATATACATACAACAGAATATTACTTAGTTATAAAAAGGAATGAAGTACTGATACATGCCAAAACATGGATGAACCTCAAAAATGTCATGCTAAGTGAAGGAAGCCAGACACAAAAGGCCACATATTGTATGATTCCATTTATATGAGATGTCCAAATCGGTAAATCCACAGAGACCAGGTGAAGATATGGGGAGGGGGGAAATAGGAGATTTCTTTTGGGGAGATTAAAATGTTTTGAAGCTAGATAGAAGTAGGTGGTGGTTGCATGACAATGTGAATGTACTAAATATCACTGGATTATATACTTTAAAATGGTTAATTTTATGTTATGTGAATTTCACTTCAATTAAGAAAAAAAAAAAAAAACTCACACTAGTGTGGGTCTCCCCAGGGCTATCTGCCCTGTGTATGCTCAGCCTCACAGTTGGTCATGAGAACAAGGAAAATATTGAGGGAGACTCTAGCCTCTGACTGGGCTGTAGGAGCAGGCCTTCCTCCCTTAGAAGTGTGCACCCTTGAGGTCAAGGCCTGGGTCTTTTTTTTAGTTAGTTTCAGAGGTAGAATTTAGTGATTCATCAGTTGCATTTAACACCCAGTGCTCATCACATCACGTGCCCTCCTTAATGCCCGTCACCCAGTTACCCCATCCCCCCACCCACCTCCCTTCCAGCAACCCTCAGTTTGTTTCCTAGAGTTCAGCGTCTCTTACTTATGGTATGCCTCCCTCTCAATTTTCATCTTATCTTATTTTTCCTTCCCTTCCCCTATGTTCATCTGTTTTGTTTCTTAAATTCCACATATGAGTGAAATCATATGGTATTTGTCTTTCTCTGACTGACTTATTTCGCTTAGCATAATACCCTCTAGTTCCATCCACATGATTGCAAATGGCAAGATTTCATATATATATCTTCTTTATCTATTCATCTGTTGATGGACATCTAGGCTCTTTCCATAGTTTGGCTATTGTGGACATTGCTGTTATAAACACTGGGGTGCAAGTGCCCCTTTAAATCAATATGTTTGTATCCTTCGGATAAATACCTAGTAGTGCAATTGTTGGGTCATATGGTAGCTCTATTTTTAACTTTTTGAGGAACCTCCATACTGTTTTCTAGAGTGGCTGCACCAGCTTGCATTCCCACCAACAGTGTAAGAGCGGCCCCCTTTCTCTGCATCCTCACCAACATTTGTTGTTTCCTGACTTGTTAATTTTAGCCATTCTGACCAGTGTAATGTGGTATCTCATTATGGTTTTGATTTGTATTTCCCTGATGCTGAGTGATGTGGAACATTTTTTTCCTGCGTCTGTTGGCCATTTGTATGTCTTCTTTGGAGAAATGTCTGCTCATGTCTTCTGAGGGCAAGGCTGGGTCTTGGTCACTCAAGGCCCCACTGAGCCGGAGGGCCTCTCCAAAAGAAAAGAAGTTAAAAAAAAAAAAAAAAAAGGCAGAAGGAGGAAAAGGAGGAAGAGAAAAGAGTGACCAGAATTAGGGTCCAGCTCCACCCTGCATATCCGGGGGACCTTGAGTATCCTGACTTCTCTGAGCCTCAGTCGCCTCAACTGTCACAGGGAGTCATGACCCTTCCAGGGCAGGGGGCGACCACACGCGTGCAATTGCTTGGCGCAGGACAGCGTTGTCACCTCTTCACCGGAAAGCAGGGGGTCCTAGCGGGCTCTTTGGAAACGCACGCAAGACCTTTGAAATGCCGGAGGATGAGGGCGGAGACCTTGCCAAGCTCACACCGGACTCCCTCCCCTACCCCGCCCGGTCCTGTCCTTCCTGTCCCTCCCCCCACAACCCACCCCAGCTGCCCCGCCCCGCCCCGCTCCCCACCCGCCGCCAGCCTGGACGGTCTCAGCAGCGTCCCGCTGGGACCAGGTGTCCCGGACGTGCCAAGATGCAGCCGGGGCTCTGGCTCCTCCTGGCCGCGCAGCTCGCAGGTAAGACGGGGAGACTCGCGGGGCGCGCGGGGCTGGAGCTGGTGGTCTGCCCTGGACCCGGGAAGAGCCCGAGCCCTAGAGTTTAGAAAAGGCTGTCCCGGGAGGATGCAGAGCCCAGAGGCCGGGGCTGTGGGGGTCCCCGGGAGGCGGCGCGGCAGGCACAGACCCTGAGCGTGGAAAAGAAATTCATCTCCCCAGTTCATTACTCCAGGGATCCCTGAAGCCCTAGGATTGAGGCTACTCTCCCCCAAAAGCGTGGAGGGGAGGGAAGAGAGGAGGCGGGGAGGGGAGGATTTGAGAAGGAAGAAAAGAGAAAGGGGAAGGATATACAGAGAGGAAAGAAAAAACCGCCCTTGTCTAGGGTTCCCACAGGGATGTGCCCCCAGGAAGGTTCCAGAGGCTCAGTTTGGCTTTGATGTCCCATACTTGGCCCAGGGTTCTGTTGAGACATTTTTAGTACTTCCGGGGAAGTACTTGTGGTACAATCTGCCAAACACCAAGCTACTGCCCGCTCTCGGACAGGTGTGGCCGAGGACTCCCTCGGGGTTCCCTGGCTTGTGGGAGCTCTGTGGTGCAGCTCCCAGAACCAGCTGCGGGAGTTGGAATGTTGCAGTCGGAATGTAGCGGGGAGTCTCCGTCCCTCTCATAAGCCCAACCAGACTGCCTCTTGGAAGAAGCCCCTCCACACCCCAAACTGCCCACTACCCTGCGGTTGATTGCTCTTTTCCCCAAAAAGCCCAAAGCTGGTCATCCTGCCAACAGTCACAAGGTCTGCCAGCCCCCTACTGTGATCCGGTGAGCTCAACCCCATCTCAGATAGAAGCTAGTCCAGGCCATTCAAAACTAGTAGTTATTGCTGATTGTTTTAGAAACAGCAGGTCCCTCTGAGTATGGAATCACTGGGAGAGGGTCAAATGAATTCCACGAGACCGCATGGGTATCGAGGCCTGGCTCTGTGTCTGGCACGGAGATGGGGCTTGGCCATGCTGGGTATTCAGCCTCCGGGGACACAAGAGAGAGACCAGGGTGTGTCGCAGCAACAAGCCTGCATGTCAGGACACAGGAAGGGGAACATACACACAAAGCCCAGGATCCTTTTGGGCCCCTTTACCCCTTAAGGAGTCACTTCTAGGCTTTCTTGCAAGAACTTCAGGAGTCTGCATATTTGCAGACCCACTATGTGCACAGGGGGACAGGACAGCGATCCAGGAGAGGATCACAGGTCTCCTCGATTCAGGGAGTGACTCAGAGCTCAGGTTCTGTGGTCCCAGACTTGGGTTTGAATCTGGATCCACCACATACAGGCTGTGTAACCTTGAGCATGCCCATAACTTTCCTGAGCCTCTGTTTCCTCATGTGTAAAATGGGTGTAAAACAGGATCTGGTGAGGATTAAGTGACATAATGCATGTACCATGCTGGGCACAGTTCAGTACAGATTGGCATCATTGTTTCTTATTATCTCCCCCAAGATGTCAATGACCCCCAAACAGTGAAGAAGCTCTGCTCTGCTGAAAAGGCAGGATGGTGTTTAGGGAGAAAAGAGAAGGCCCAGTAGGCACGTGGGCACCAGGTACCATGTTATTCTTGGTGTGCGCCGAAGCTCGGAGTGGCCTGTGAGTGGAACCAAAAAGCTTACGTTTGTGGCCCGCTATGGGGCCATGAAGCCTGAGACACAAGCATTGTCAGGATTGTGACTCTAGGCCGCTGCCTCAGTAGGCCAGCTCCCCTTGGGTACACACACACACACACACACACCACACACACACACCCTCTGGACTCCCGTGCCCTCCCATGCCTCGAAGTTCCTAGGTCTCTGCCCCGGTCTGTAGGATCTCCCTTTGCCCCACAGCTAAAATGGAAGGCTCACCAGGTCAGATTTGGTGTGTTGGACTTGGCTGTGAAGGACCCATTCAAATCTTTCCTAAGATGTCATCTGCTGCCTGTAACATCCCCTGGTGTGTGAGACACGTAGACAATGAAGTACCCGTGTACAGCGCTTTACAGTTTGAAGTGGGTTTTCTTGGATGTTCTAACCCTCGCAGGCGAGCAGGCAAGCAGGCCTCCAGCTGCCCTCCTCCTAAAGGGCAGAGACAGACTCCTTGACTTCCTGCAGTCCCACTGCTGGTAGGGGCAGAAGCTGGGTTCAAGGCCAGGTCTTGGAGTTCTGGTCTAGTTCTCCATGAACAATCCCCTACTTATCGATGCTTCCCAACTTGAGACTAAAATGAAATTCCAGGGCTGCTTCTGGGGTGTCTGACCTTCCCTTCGGGGATGGGGATCCAGTGACCTATCACTTGCTAGGCTAAGAATTTGAAGGCCGTGGTGGCTCGTATGGCAACAGTGAGTTCCTCTTGCTTGAGCATGTCTTGCAGAAAGAGTGGTTGGCCCTCTTTTAGATTGGCCAGACCAGCCCCGAGCTCTGCCTCTGATCTGGGGCTCCTCCGGGCTGCCTGAGTCTCCGCCACCTGCTTGGAGCCTGTTGAAGGCCTGTCCCTAGACTGGCAGCAGGACAAGGAGAAAGGCAACCGGCTTTGACTTCAGGCTTTGAATCTTTGAGTTTGAATCCCAGGTCACTTACTAGCTTGTCCCACTTGGTGGGACTTTGAACAAGTAACTTCATGCCTCAGTTTCCTCATCAGTGTCATGGGGATAAAAATCCCCCAATAAGTTTGAGGTTGGATTAAGATCATTTATACAAAGAGCCAGGCATATAAGCAAGCAATCAATAAATGGCAGCTCTCTCCCCATCCCCTCCATAAAACCGGCCATAGGAAACACCTGATTGCAGATGGTCTCCTGGGAGGTGGGGTGCTCGAGCTCCGAGTCCGGGAGCCACCAGCGGCGTTTGCCACAGCCCCTGGCCCCTGCAACTGGGCAGGGACTCCCATGGCTTTACTTCGATGCTTGACTCTGTGACTCTGAAGCCCCACAACTGTGGTTGGGAAAACGTGTTGGTGATCTCTGCTTCTTCTGCTTCTCATAGCTCTCCATGGCAGCTCAGTGCTCCAGCAGGCCCCTGGGTCCATACTGGTTCAGACCAACCAGAGGGTGATAATGTCCTGTGAAGCCAAAACCTCCCCCACTAGCACACGCATCTACTGGCTGAGACAGCGCCAAGCTCCGAGCCCGGACAGTCACCATGAGTTCCTGGCCTTCTGGGATTCCGTAAAAGGGACTGTGTACGGCCAAAAGGTGGAGCAAGAGAAGCTAACTGTGTTTCCGGATGCAATGAGGTCCATTCTCAATCTCACAAGAGTGAAGCCAGCAGACAGTGGCGTCTACTTCTGCATGACCATCGGGACCCCTGAGCTGACCTTCGGGAAGGGAACGCAGCTGAGTGTGGGTAAGAATCTAGCTCAATGCTGTCGATGAGCATGGAGCACCTGCTGGGTGCTGGGTGCGTGCCAGGCACCGGAGCTGCCTCCGCTCTCAGCCGCCCGCCCCCGCCCCTGCCCCCGCCCCGCAGGAGAGAGTGCCGGCTAGCACCGTAGCTGGTAGGAACGGACTTACCCAGAGCCAGGCAGAGGCAAGTGTTCTGTGTAGTCATTTCAGTCCCCACTGCCATCTACCCTGGGAGGTAAGATGCTGATTCCTATTGCAGATGGGATGCCTCAAAACATTGCTGCTTCTTCTGGGGACAAGGCGGTGCTGTCCTTCAGCCACATCAGGTCTCCCTGAGGCTCTGCCTAGATTGGGCTGAGTCCTGGGGCCTAACAGTGGTCTCAGAAATTCCCACTGAGTGTGCACACCAGGAAAGAAGGTCATCACTGCCTGGACATACCCAGTGAGAGCATTTCTAGGGCCGGAGGATGCCCTTACATACTGAATGGGTTGGGGGAAGCTGTGGCTCATACCCACACCCAGAGGTACAGGGAGGAAGGAGACTGGACCCCAGGCCTAGCTGCAAATTCTGCTGCATATTCATTGTGTGCCTTTGCACTGGGGTCCCTCTGCTCCCTGGGCCTCAGGTTTCCCATCTGTTTCACGGGGCTGCCGTTGGCCTCCATGACCCCCTCCAACCCCGAGAAGCTGCAGTTCTGGGAGTTAAGTCAGCACGCCCCATAGAAAGAGATGATAAGCCACAGATGTGATTTAAAAATTTCTGATGCCACGTTAAAAAAAGTAAAAAGAAACAAGTGGAATTAATTTCAATACTGTATTTTTAACCAGTTTATCAACAATACCATTTAACTTGTAATCAATATGAAAATTATTATTGAAATATTTTGCGTTCCCTTTTCATACTAAGTGTTCGATGTGTTTCTTACCCACCGCACACCTTGAGTGAGACTGGCCAGTGGCACAGAGAGCAGATGGCCACACTCTTGGACAGTGAGGAGTAAGCTCTGAGAGGTGTGAGGGAATCATGGCAGAAATTCTCAAAGGCCTGCACCTGACTTTAGCCCCCTCCCCACGTTAGCCAATGGCCGGCCGACCCCCTGCGCTCCTCCCACTGTCCTGCTTCCCTCTCACCTGGGTTCTTCTCAGGCTGGGGGCTGAAGAATGACAAGGGGACCCCCCCTTCCCAGGAACTGGACCACTCAGCATGGGAAGATGCAGAGACAGCTGGGGCAGCAGCACCATTAGGAAGAAAGAAACAGGGGTGCAGCTGTCTCATCTCACCAGCTTTGGGTCTTCAGTCAGGAGGTAGGGGTGGGGGCGAGATCTCTGGGCAAGAAGCCGAGGCATGCTCAGTAGGGTGTCGACTGATTCCTGTATTGAAAATTGGGCTTTGGGGGGTTTGGGGTTTTGGTTTGGTTTATTGTTTTTGTCTCTACAAGCCTCACATTTTCCCACTCATGAGATTTCGGGGTCTGAGGAAGGTAGATGATGAAATAAACAAAGCTGGTTTCTAGAAGCTTCCCCTCCACCTACACCACCCCCACTCACTCCTGGCTTTGATATTTCCAAACCCCTCATGCTGCTCAGCTCCCTGAGAATAGCGGACCCTTCCCAAAGCATGTGCTTGCACCTCGCCAGAATTAGGGTATCCAGAGCCACACCCCGCCCTTCCTGCCAGAGGTCAGCACATATTGAAGGAGGAACCTCAGGTAGTAAAGAAAGTATTGGAGAAAGACAGGGCCTTTTGGGGGCCGCTTAACCATACCATGGGCTCAAAAGTCCTGTCCTTTTCAAAGAGGAGAGAAGTGGGGAGATTAGAACGGGGACAGGGGGAGTCAGGAGTCATCAAGGGGACCCAGCTCTGGGCAAGAAGAAACTAAAATGGAACAAGCCTCCCCACAAACCCCTCATCAGACACAGACACCGAGCCCAACCAAGACGCTGAGGTGCTATAGACTGGCTCCCCTGCAGGCTTCCCACTGACCAGCCGAGAGACCTCTGTGCCTCCTCATGTATAAAGTAAAGGGAAGGGGCACTTCTGGGGCCGTAAGGAGGAAAGGAGGAAACAATGCTGGGCCCCCACTGGGCAGAGGGCCGTGCTCCCGCACACTTTGGGAGCACCATAGCCAGTGTCCTTTTCCCTCTTATGCTAGTTTCCCTCAGCATTCCCATGGCTGAGGGCCTTGACCTGATGTGCCTAACTTTTTGTTAGAAAGCATTTGCACCTGAGGAAGGGTGGCGTCGTGAGAGCCTGGAATCAGGGTCTCTTGGCTCAGATCCTGGTAGTGCTGTTTAAGGCTTCCTGAACTTTAGACGAGCTATTCCAGTTCTCTGAGCCTAGGCCTCCTTGGGGATAAGATGGGGGTCCTAGTGCCTGTCCCAAAGTTGTTGGGTTCAATAAGCTTAAGCTTAAGCTCAAGTGCTTGGCTGTGCCCCTGGCACATGGTGAGACTTAGTAGGGGTCCGTTCTAGTTAGTTGGTTCTCCCCAGAAACCTCATGAAGCAGGCAGAGGATGCGTGTTATCTCCACTTTCCAGAGGACACTCAGGCTGGCGAGGGTCCACAGTGTCCACTTCTTATGGAAGATGCCAGCCCCGAAATGGCCATTTCCTGGCGGCCCCTCTCTGTCCCCTTGACACTAGAGTTTAAATTTATGGTGTCACTATCTTCCCTCTCCTACCGTTTTGCAGAAAGTCATTGCAGTGAAACGTCTTTGCTCACCTCACAGAGACAAGGGTTGGATTCAGCAGCACCCGGTGCTCACAGCATTCCTAGCACCTCAGAGCCTCCGGTGCCTCCCTTGGCTCAGTGTGCTTGTCCCCCTGCCCTGCCCCAACACATCACAGTGTGACACTGGATTAGAACAGAAGAGAGGAGTGACCCACCCAGGCGTCAGGAGAGGGGTTGGTGGGGCCAGGCAGGCACATTGCACTGTGGGGCCTCGGGGCCAGCCCCTCACATCGCTGGTGTTCATCTTTGAAATTAAAGGTTGAGACTAGAGGTCGTTCCAGCTCTGATAGTATATGATTTGTAAAGACACTTGAGAAGGAAAGAAAATCCCCATTGCAACCTGCATGCTATTGTACATATGGGAAAGGGCACCCACCTCCTTTCCATGAGCTTCCTCCAACCACTTAGGAATTAGCAGTTTGGCTGAGGGGCTGGTCTTGTCAAGGGTTTGGGGACTCTGGCTTCCTCTCAAGGTCTTCGGCCAGGGGGAGCCTGCTGAGGCCAGGGGGAGCAAATCTCGGGATGAAAATCCCGAGAAGGAACTGGGAGTCATCTTTATTTCAGCAGATGGGGAAACTGAGGCACAAAAAAGTAATAGGACTTGCCCCAAGTCACACAGTGGTTAATCAGGGCTGCTGGGGCTCTGTTCAGGACCATATGGATGCAGAGCCCCTCTCTTTCCTGGACAGCAAAACAACCCCCTGCCTAGGCCCTCAGTTAGGTCTGAGAGTTGGGAAAACACCTAGAAAATTCTATCGCTCTGTAACCTTGGAGCCCTGTAGCAGCCTAGTCATAGAGGCTTTAGTACCTGGATGGAAGACATGAGATTTTAACTTTTGTCTGGAACTCCACCCACTGTTTACATGTCTTGCTTGCTTTCTGTAGTTGATGTCCTTCCCACCACTGCCCAGCCCACCAAGAAGCCCACCCCCAAGAAGAAAGTGTGCCCGTCCCCAAACCCTGTGACCCAGAAGGGTGAGTTCTCCCATCTTCCTGGACCTTCAGAAGCACAGCAGGATGTCTTCCTTCCCTCCCTCCCTCCTTCCTTCCTTCCTTCCTTCCTTTCTTCCTTCCTTCTTTCCTTCCTTCCTTCTTTCCTTCCTTCCTTTCCTTCCTTCCTTCCTTCCTTCCTTCCTTCCTTCCTTCCTTCCTTCCTTTCTTCCTTCCTGCCTTCCTTCCTTCCTTCCTTCCTTCCTTCCTTCCACAAGCCCTTCCCACCTGTGGACTCTAGCCTGTTTCTCTGGCCCCGCCCAAGCTGAGGTCGGAAGGGAAGTTGAGTATGACCACAGTGCTGCCCTCCAGCAGCTCACAGTCTAGTGGGGGACACGCTTACAAATCATCACAGGGCAAAACCTAATGGAGGCTATGTCCACCCCCAAAACCTGCACACCAGTGTTCCTAGCAGCATTACTCATAATCGCCAAAAAAGTAGAAGCTCAGAAACCCACCAACTGATGAATAGATTACCTAAATATGGAATATCCATACAATGGAATATTATTTGGCCATCATAAACAGTGAATTACTGATACAAGCTACAATATGGATGAACCTTGAAAATATTACACAGTGAAAGAAGCCAGACACAAAAGATCCTGTATTATGGGATCCCACTGATAAGAAATGTCCAGAATATGACATTTCACAGAGACAGAAAGTAGATGAATGGTTGCCTACAACTGGGGGGTTGGGAAGGAATGGGGAATGATTGTTAATAGGTACAGGATTTTTTGTGGGGTGAGATGAAAATGTTCTAAAATTAGATTGTGGTGATTGATAGTTGCACAACTCTGTGAATATACCCAAAACCATCAAATTATACACTTGGAGCAGGTGAACTTTATATGTAAAATCTATCTCAGTAAAGCTGTTAGCAAACAAAAGTACCGAACCCAAAGGACCAAAACTTTAAAGTCTTTCAGTTTGGATGCTTACCAGAGGACCTGACACACAGCGTGTGCTAATATGTGTTTGTTAATGAGTGAACAAACTTCCGTCTCTGTGCTATACGCCCAGAGACAGCAGCTGGAGGGCGCGGCGTGTGCTCACACACACACACAGACATAGACACACACACACACACAGAGACACACAGACACAGACATAGACACACACAGACATAGACACACACACAGACACACACAGAGACACACAGACACAGACACACAGACACACACACAAAGACATAGACACACAGAGACACACACACAGACACACACACAGACATAGACACACACAGATACACACACAGACACAGACACACACACACATAGACACACAGAGATATAGACACACACACACATAGACACACACAGACACACACACAGACACACACACAGACATAGACACACACACAGACACACACACACACTTCACTTGAACCATCAACCCAAATGTGTTTATGGAAAAATACTGAGCCCTGTCCCCCAGAAGATACTGGTGACAAACAGAAAGCGTCATCTGCTCCTACCCACAGAACAAATGGCGGCAAACCAGCACGCTAGAGCTGCCCGCGCTACTGGGGTTGCTCGGTCTCAAATACGTCAAGTAACAGAAAGAGCCTGAGGAGAGGCACCTAATGGGATCGGGGGATCAGAGCAGGAAGCTGCCCCACGGGGTCACAGTAGTAAAGGAAACCAGAGTCCATACGCAGAAGGGCACAGTCTTGGGGAGCATGAGGTGGAGATAGAATGAGGTAAAGTATCTATGCCCCACGACTTGGCCTAAAGGATCTCAGGTCGGTTACAACAAAAAATGACACAAAAGGCAAATACACCAGGGCCACTGAGTTGCGGGTGCCGAAACTGGGTCTGTGTGTGCTGGGATTCTAGAGAAGTAGAGAAGCAGCGAAGCCAGCTGCACCAGAGGGAATACTCCAAATACCCTGGCACCAACGCCCCTGCCCCCCCCCGGTGAGGTAAAGAAACAACCCCAGGCGCTCATCTTGAGGGGGGCACCCAGCTAGAGCCCACAGCTTGTCGTCATGAATGAAACCACACGGCCACCCTGGGGAAGGGCCTGCTCCCCAAGGCTTCGGGCTGTCCCTGGAGATGACATTGAGAGCAACGGTGTGGTAGCCTCTAGGCTTCAGGGGACTCCGAAACCCGAGCAGGGCAAGAAAGGCCAGGCCAAGCCATACAAGCGGCCAATATATGAAAATAGGCTGACGCTGACAAATCATCAGGGAATGCAAGTGAAGTATCATGTTAAACCCACTACACTGGCAAAAACTAAACACTTGGGCAATACTGAGGGTCGGCAAGGGCCACAGCTGGTGGTTAGGAATGAAAAGCAGTGCAGGCTTTTTGGAAGGCTCTTCACAGTGTCTATCACAACTTTAAACAGACATGGTTGATGGTTTGGTGGTTCCTGTTTTCAGTGTCTGCCTCAGGCTGCCTGGTACATTAGGAAAAATGTACCAGGATATTCCCTGCAGTTATTTGTAAAAGTAAAACATAGGAAACAAACAAAATGCCCATCTGATGGCTGAATAATCCATGGTATGTCCAAACTGCAAATGTTACTCTGCTAGGAAAAGTGTGTGCTGAGATACTTTTTTAAAAAGATTTTATTTGTTTATTTTAGAGAGAGGTGGGGGGAGGGGCAGAGCGAGAGGGAGAGAGGGTCTCAAGCAGACTCTGCGCTGAGCGTGGAGCCCGACTCGGGGCTCAGTCTCACGACCCTGAGATTACGACCTGAGCCAAAACAAAGAGTCAGACGCTCAATGGACTGTACCACCCAGGCGCCCCCTGATATATTTAAGTGAAGAAAAAAATGGTTTGCCAAACAATTTGTACAGTATAAGCCACTGTATGCTTTAAAAAAAACCTGTATGTGTTTGTGTAAATTATGCATGTGTAAATGCAAAGAGAAAGGTACCAAATTAACCATGGCATTTTTTTCCTGTGAAGGAGCTAGCATGCCAAGGAGCACTCTAACCATATACTTGAATCCTTTACAAGGAAAATATATTCAGCAATCTCTTGTGTAGTTAAAATAAAAGCTTTAAAAATAAATAGTAAAAATCTCTTTACCGGGCATGAAAATTATCTCCTTTCAACATAAGTAGCTCCTGAGTTTAATTAATTTTTAAAATGATGATGCGGGACATAACATTTTCCATGTAAAATTATCTCAGTGTGTTTAAAGTACCTAGAAAGAAAGAGAAGAAAAATGTGCAAACAGTGGTATTCTCTGGGAGGTGGGACTTCCGGTTGACTTCCCTCTTTGTCTTTTTATGTGCATGCCTCGGATGTTCAGTAAGTGTGTCTTTTCCAGGCCCCTCCTGTGGCCCCCTCACCCTCGGCCTCCTGGTGGCTGGAGTCCTGCTTCTGCTGGTGTCCTTGGGAGTGGCCATCCACCTACACTGTAAGTTTTGCCCTCTTGGGCCACCATAGTGGCTCCTTTTGCTGTCGGAGGTGTCCCTGAGCGTCCATCCTTCTCTGGGGGAGACGGACAGATGGCAGAAGTCTACACCTGCCCCCAGCCCATGGCTGCAGAGGTGCGGGGATCAGAGACCACCCTGTCTCTGGAGTCAGACAGACCTGGGTTTGAAGCCAACCCCACTATTTGCCCATCTAGGGACCGTGGCCTCTCTGAGCCTCAGCCGCCCCATCCAGGAGTAACAGTGTTACCTACCGCCCAGGGTGGCTGTTTGTAAGGTCCTGCCCCGAGGGCCCAACGTGGGGTATGAGCTCAGTCAGTGGGAACTCCCATGAGCAGTCGGGATGCAAGCAGTACAAAGAAGACATTGACCTGGGGTTTGGGTTACGTTCCCAGAAGCTTGAACTCCTCCTCCTCTGCGAGGCTGCAGGAAGACTGATGACTGTCTCTCCGGGCCGCCCTGGAGATGAGATCATGTCCTGCTCTGGGCTCCCAGGCTTCATCAGAAAGGGGGAGCTGCAGGGGAGGCCCGCATGGCTGCCCAAGAGCCCCGGGCTCCACCCTTGGCCCTTCTGCTCACCTGTGCCACCACGAGCAAGTCACTGACCCTCTCTGGGCTTCAATAAAATAGGAGAGGGTGGCTCGCAGAGGCATGGACTAGATCAGTGACGCTTTTATAGGTCGCAGACCCCTTTAAACTTGTGATAGCAGTTACAGACCCTCTCCCCAAAGAAATGTGTCACGTGCACATTTTTGCATAACATTACCATTCAGGACAGGATCCATTTGCCCCCATTAAAGTTCAGTGGTCTGCAAACCTTTTTTTTTTTTTTAAAGATTTTATTTATTTTTTTGACAGAGAGAGACATAGTGAGAGCAGGAACACAAGCAGGGGGAGTGGGAGAGGGAGAAGCTGGCTTTCCGCAGAGCAGGGAGCCCGATGTGGGACTCGATCCCAGGACCCTGGGATCATGACCTGACCTGAAGGCAGACACTTAACAACTGAGCCACCCAGGCGCCCTCTGCAAACCTTTTTGATCAAGGATCTCATTGGTAAAAAATTGTTAAATTATGAACCCCAGCTGCAAATAGATCTCATTATTTAAAAAAAAAAAGTTGAATTTTAAACTCTAACTGCAATTAGGTGTATTTATTTCATATATTAAGTATGTTATCAAATGTGGTTCATAACTGAAAAGTAATAAAAGATGAGATAGACCTGTAAATAAACATGCTTACACTTCCTTCCGGCATCCCTTGCGATTCCCCCAAATGCACACACTCTAGCTTGAGACCATCTGTCTGCACACCTCTCATTCCTGACCTGCTGGAAAGGGCAAACTGTCACGTTTAAGGACACACAGACCGGAGTAGATTCACTAAGTTCGAATTCTGGCTTTACTGCTTACTAGCTGCACGACTTTGGGCAAGTTACTCCGTGCCACGCATGCTCTGTGACTCAGTTTCTCCATATACCCAATGGAGGTACTAAGAGGAGTAGTCATTGGCTTCTGTGAGCGTGAAGGGAGTTAAAGCACATAAAGTTGGAGCGCAGCCTGGAGCCAGGGAAGTGGTCTGAGGTCCTGGCTGCCCCCGTCATCTCCCTCCTCGCTCTCTGGGGCTGGGAGTCAGCGGCCCACCGCCCACACCAACCCACGTCCTTGTTTTCTTCTTCCAGGCCTGCAGAGGAGAGCCCGGCTTCGCCTCCTGAAACAGTAAGTGCTTGGGGCCTCGAAAAAGTGCCTGTGACGCGGCCCTGGGTGTGGTCCTGGCTTCCTCAGCCCCCGCTGTTGCCACAGCCTCTACCTGCGGGGATCCCAAGCCAGACCCCGCCTGCAAAAAAATCTCAGACTGTATAAATAGATGGAGCCATAGAGTTCAGGAGGAGAGATCGTCTAAACAAATGAAAATACTGGGTATTTCAAGCACGGAGAGACTTAGCTCTTAGCTCTCCTAATGATCACAATCAACTCTTCAAGCATAGAATACAGTAGGATGCCCCAAACTCTTTCCCTCCCAGCATTTCATTTGACTTGGTCCTGCAAGGACATAGGAGGGTTACTGTTAGAGACCAGCTGAAAGACTTGCTCAAAGCATTTGGGATAGTAAAGAGCAGGACTGGATCGGAAGACAAGTTGGTTCACTGCTTCCTTCCCTGCTCATGTGGGGCGTTGGGCTGCCTTGGTCCTGTCTTCCTCCCTGGACCCCACCTGTGTCCCAGGAGTTGGCAAATCAAAAGGCACATGGACATGGGAGCTAAAAAGCCCCGGCTCTGCAGGCCACTGAGCTGCTTAAGCACAGGCAGATACCCAGAGGCTGAGGCCCTCAGAGGCCGGCGGCCAGAGGCTGCTCCCAGCCTCAGGGAGTGCCAGGCCTCAGCCGGACCATGAGCAGTGCTCTTGGATTGCTTTTTCATCCTCAAAATACCGTTCCACATCTACCTGTCTCACTAATGACAATCCCCTCCATCTAGAGGTGTTTGGAGGAAAAAGAAAGCCCATCAAGCCTCTAGATTGAAGAGGGCAAAAGGGCCTGGTGCTCAAGAGCTCGGGCTGGGGGGTTTGAATCCTGTCTGCCGCTCTTCAACCGTGGGACCATAGGCGAGTCACTTCACCCCTCTGAGCCTCTGATTCCTCATCTGTGAAATAGGCTAACAGTACCAACCTCATGGCTCTTGTGAGGACTTACTGGGGTAGTACCCATAAAGTGCTCAGCCCTGGTCCCACGGAGTCGAAGGACAAACGCATGTCACTTACAAAAAGTCAACTCTACCATCCAAACAACCAAGGAACAAAATGTACTCCTAAATACTTGAAAATTTAAACTCCAGATAAACTCTGTATTATATTCTCGACATTATTATATGCATTGTATTTGTCTATATATTTGCTTGACTAAAGATAGTCACTGAAACATGCCTGCTGTCTTTTATGGGTGATTTTCAATGATAATTTTGATTGTGTACAGTTTTCACAATTTTATGTGCTGGATTTAGAAGTTAGCCCCTACCTAAGAGACGGTAACCTGAGTGTGTTTGTCTGAGCCTAGATCTGCAGAATGTTCTGTTCAACATCTTCCCCGTGGTGACCTCTAATGGAGAATGAGTCCCCATCGGGGTACTGGCCCCACTCAGCCCTTCATTTTAACTTGTTCCCCAGTGATTTGATGCCAGTTTTAGGGGACCTCTGAGGATCCACTGAGGTGGGGAAGGAGTTGGGGGTGAACATGGGAGCGGTGAGCTTGCTCACCCTCTGCTCACGGTGCTGCTGCCATTGACTACCTGTAGTTACGCTCGCCAGTGAGACATCATTTGAACAAAAGGGTTTGTGGCTAAAACAAAATTTGGAAATCCCGTCTCGTTTTGCTACCATGATCCAGGTGTGGGCGAAAGAGTCCATGGGCCTCACGGATAAGCTATTCCAAACTCAAGTTGCGATTTGGGGCAGACGCTCCCCAGCCCGAAACTGAGCCTGGAAAATCTTCCCATCAGCAAGCCACCTTCTTCTGGCCCCTTAGTGTAGATTTGTGAGTAGCTTCTCTTAGAAGGTACTACAGGAAGTAACACTATTCAAAGCTAGAGTGCTTTGGACTTTGTTTTTTGAGCTTCTTAAATTTTTTTTTTTAATGACTAAGTTGGGCCCTAAAAACATACTAACAGAAAACTCCTGGCCCGGGGCTCCTTACTGCAAGTGCAACCCTGCATCCTCACCTGTCATTTGTCTTTGTTACAGGAAATTCATATCATTTCCCTGACAATAAGTGGGGTCTCAACTTGCTGTTGTTTTCAGATTTTATAAATGAGCAAAAAATATGCTTTTGGGGTCCTGCTACAAAAATACGTTTGGTCAGTAACGAGCGAGATCTGGAAAAATGAGAGAGAAGAGCCACGCTCAACTCACTCTGCAGTGGAAATTTCGCTGGCCTGCCGAAGTTGCCTGCTTTTAACTATTGCAAGTTCTTTCTGTGGGCCTCACACATGGGAGCAACGTGTTACTTGGTCATCGGGAGCCACAGCGAGAAGGCTTCAGAGCCCCCGAACACTTCCTGCAACTCGGGGGCACACTGGAGGATGCTGCCATGACACCACTTCCAGCTCCCATACTCCCCCTGGGCTGGGCTGGGACCTTTGTGTTGGCTGTCCAGCCCCTGTCTCGCAAGTTGCTTTGCCCTGGTAGGGCACTGACGTGGAGTCCTGAGTCTCTCATGGGATGGCGCTGGGCTGGCTTCTCCTTGGTCTTCCCAGGCTGGGGCTGACTGCCCTCACCGAGAGCCCCAGAGACCAGACCCAGCTTGGAAACCAGCTTTCTGTGAAGGGCTGACCTGACTCCTGTAGTGATTTCAGTCTCCGGGGATGTCCTTTTGGGGCTGGGGATTTGTGGCTTTGAGAATGGGAAGTCACTTTATCTCCTATTAGGAATTTCCCCGACTTTCACTTCTGCTCTCCCATGGCTTGTATATTTCTCTCTCACTTTCTGTTCTTTTTATGAAAATGTCTTGGTTGTAAAAATAAAGTCCTGAATAAAAGATGCAAATGGGTCCTGTGATGGAAAAGCACAAAGCCCATCTGTACGGCAAAGATGTTGATGCTCGGCTGAAAAGAAATAACAAGGATAAAACGTGCCTGTCCTCATTCGCCCCTGTGACATGCTGTCGTCCATGTTGTAGGCATAGAGAGAGTCTCAGAAGTTGGGAAGCACCCCAGGCACCCAGCGCCAGGCGGCAGGGGCCCCAGGGGCTGGCCTCCCCTGGCCACCCCAAGCCACCTTCACTACACCTGTTGGGTTCTACAGAGTGGAACCCCAGGGACTCCTAGCCACAGACTGCTGACCTTGTACTAAAGAGAAGGTGGGAGGCATCAGGGTCTCTCTCTCAGCTTTGACAGGAAAAGCAAATGCAAGGGGAACACGCTGAGCTGGAAGAGGGAGTTGAGATGAGGAGCTCGTGCCTTCTGAAAAAGCCCAAGGGGATCTGATCTTAGCTTCCCACCCTGGGCTTTGGCAGTATGAGAGCTACTGAGCCAAAAATGACTGCAGCCTGAGGCTGCGTTAACAGAAGCACCAGGTGCAGGCCAACAGAGAACAGAGCCCCACCTGCTTTTCCCAGCCGGCTGGGAGGTGCCCTTGAAGAAGGGCAGTGGCAAACCAGGCTCTGCTCAGGGACCTCTGGCAGCCGCAGAAAACAGGAAAGGAAGATGGCTCGAGGGGAGGAGGCATCTGAGAGCTGCCTGTGGAGTGAAGGGGGCAGAACTAGGTGTGGCGGGTGGGAGTTAGAAGGGTGTTGGTGCAGGAGATGCTTGAGAGAAGCAAACGCTCTCTGCCCATCAGCTCTGAGGACGACAGGACAGGCTGGCTCCCAGGGCCCCAGGGAGGGGGGAAGGAGCCAGGGCGGCCAAGCCAGACTCCTCTAGGGTTCAGGTTTAAGGTGGGCTTCTTGCTCTGAGACATCCCATTTAGTGATAAGAGACTAAAGCCCAGGGGATGCCTGGGTGGCTCAGTTGGTTAAGTGCCTTCGGCTCAGGTCACGATCCCGGGGTCCTGGGATCCAGCCCAGGAGCCCCCACATGGGCTCTCTGTTCAGCAGGGAGTCTACTTCTCCCTCTCCCTGTCCCTCTGCCCCTCCCTCTGCTCGTGCTTGCTCTCTTTTTCTCTCCCTCTCTCACACACACTCTCTCTCTCAAATAAATAAAATCTTAAAAAGAGAGAGAGAGACTAAAGCCCAGATGTGCGACCTGCCTTCCCTGCAGGCTCACACCCAGTCCACAGCAGAAGTAAGAACTGGCCTCCAGGCCCCTCTCCCCACTTTAGGCTTGGCTGTGTGACAGCATCTCCCCATTGCTGTCTTTGCAATTGTGTTTTGTTTGCAAATTCACATGGAGGTGAGGTTGGAGGACCAGGGCCGGGGAAAGGGGGCGGGGGTGGGGCACCTCTGTCTCTTTTCTATGCAGCAGGTCCGTGCTACAGCTCGGTCTGCCCAGAGAGCTGGAGCAGGCTTGGCTGCCAGCAGCAGGGGCTGCGGTGAAGTCGTCTGCACCCAGCACCTGACTTTTCTTTTGCAGAAGGAACTGAGCATTTACTACTTTCTGGAGGTCCGTTATGGCAAAATATTTAAAAAAAAAATTTTTTTAATCTAGCTATCTTTTAACTCGCAATTCCACCTCTAGGCAATTGCCTTTAAAAAAAAAACACATCTCAAGGTTCCATGCACAAAGAAATACACATCAAATCGGTTTTTGTCGTGCTGCTTAGTAGCCAAAAATTGGAAATTGTCCAAATGTCCATCAAGAAAAGACAAATCAATTGTGAGACAAGGGACTCATGGCAGCGATTAGGGAATGAGTGAGATCCATCCATGCAGGCTTCAAATGATGGCCACTACACCTGCATATATTTTAACAACATCTGTATGGATTATCCTCATTTGAAGTGCAATATATGGCCACTGTTAAAATTCAAACACGATAAAAACAGGCAAAGCAAATATACGTTAAAGTCAGGATATGGTTACCCTTATTGCAGGGGTGCTCCATAGGAGGGAGTATGAAGTTTGGGAGTTGGCATGTCCTGTCCCCCATCTGGGGGCTGCTCCTACGGGTGTGTTCAGTTTGTGGAAAACACTGAGCTATACACTCATGATATGTCAACTTTCATGTGTACATATGGAAATAGATATAGATTATACTCCAACAAAGACATGTTTTGAACATCTAAGTACAGAACATTGCAGAAATATGTAAAATTGGCATTAAAATTTTCTTGTTCTCCCAGATTTTTCCTGCCTGTACTCTTTTAAACAGAGAATTGAAATCTTATAAAATGTAATACGTAATACCTAAGATACAGAATATAAAAAATCGAATCTTATTATTCTGCAAATTTGATTTTTTTTTCTCTAATAATATATCAATGCCTCTGGACATATTTGTGTATGCATAGAAAAAGATCCGGAAGGATATACTCCAAGCTGTTAATGGTAGTTACTCTGGGGAGTTTCCACTTCTGCATTATACATGTCTGTGTTGCGTGAATTTTTACAACAATCATGTGTGACTTTTATAATTGGGGGTAGGAAACTTTGGAGAAAAGAAACGGCCTCTTTTTAGAAAGAGGCTCTGATCATCGTAATATTAAAAAATTGGAATCTGCTTCAGTAGCCGTCGATGGGAGATTTTGTTCACAAGTCACAATTTCTAAAAATCCGTGCAATGGAAATCACGTGACTCGTGCGGGGGCTGCCGGACTGCAGGGCCGAAGTCTCCAGTCGTGCAAACCTGTAACTTCTGTGCTCCTCAGTTCCCTCCTTTGCAGTGGGAGCAACAACTGTCTCTCTCTCTGCCTTGCTGTGGGGCGCGCCCATAGCAGGGTCTGGGGCCAGCGCGGCTTCCCTGGGCCGGTCCCCACTCAGCGGGAAGCAAGGGTAGTGAATTCTGGGCACCAGCCTGCAGGTGTAGCACCAGCAGCACGAGTTCAAAGGAGGAAGGGGGCTCCTACACCACCCCCTCCTTTCATCTTTACTCATCCCCACCCCTGCCCCCGCAGCTTGTGTCTCTCTACCTGTAGGAAGTGGGCAACTTGTTTTCACAAAGTGATCCCTGGTCCTGTGTGGGCTGCAAAGCTGATCGAATCTACCGCCCAGTCAAAGGGAAAGAGAGAAAGAGCCCTGTCTTCAGAGGCCTTTCCAGGTGTGGAGGACGAAAGAGATTTCCTCCATCACTTCTTGGGAAACCTCCTCAGATGCGTCACTGACGCTCCTTGGTGACCGTGAGTCACTGGTTCCTGGAGTCCTGCGGGCTACATAACCGGGTGCCTCAGCCCAAACAGAAGGAAACCGCATCCCTCGACACCGCATCAGTTTGGGATTCACAGACGTAAGCCTGGCGCGGGTGATTCTTGTCATGCTGAACGCCAAAGTGCTGAAAAAGGACCCTATTCCTGCGCAGTGTCATTGGCTGTCCTGGATCCTGTTTTCTCCCATTCATTTACTGCCTTTTATGTGCAAGTACCCATCTTTAGCTTAGCTTGGGCTTCTGAATTTGAACAAAAAAGTCTACATTTCTTTGAAAAAATATATATATTTTTTTAATATTTTATTTATTTATTCGAGATAGTGAGAGAGAGAGCATGAGAGGGGGACAGAGGGAGAGGGAGAAGCAGGCTCCCTGCTGAGCAAGGAGCCTGACGTGGGGCTCGATCCCAGAACCCCAGAATCATGACCTGAGCCGAAGGCAGACGCTTAACCGACTGAGGCACCCAGGCGTCCCTTTTCATATATTTTTAATTGCAGACTATCTCCCATCCTGTCCTCTTTGACAAGTGAGCTAATCAGCTGCCCCCTCTCTGCAGGTAGTGCTCTTCTTCCTCAGGCTTCTCGATGCCAGTGTAAATGTATTTATTTTGGGCACTTTCTGTGTGCCTGGCTGGTCCTGCGCTGGGACTGGGGGAACCAGGACAGACACAGCCCGGCCCCCCAGATCCCTCCTTACTGGCCAGTCCCTGATCTCCTGGGGGGACCAAGGCCAGTGGGAGCCCTCCAGCCCTGTCCTGCCACCCACATACACAGTCAGCCTTCCCAAGTCTCAAGGCCAGAATGTATATGAATAAATGAGTGAAGCAAGAAGCCCACTTACTGAGCCAGAGGCACAGCCTGCCCGAGGCACCCCTCAGCCCTCTCCGCTGGCTCCCCAGCCCAGCCTGTCTGGGCCCCAGTGATGTGAGGACTCGACTTAGCCACACTTCTCACTGTTTGCTTTGACAGGTGCCGTCAACAAACTCCTTGGAGATCATACACTCGACGAACTAGTTATTAACCGAGCAGCTATAGAGCTATAGGCACTAACGATGCATTCAGCAGACACTATTCTCAACTCCATAGGCTCACAGCATCGTGGGGGACAGAGACACAGGCCCAGCACTTGCGTGACTCCAAGAGCAAGCGCCCTCGGGGCCGCATGCTCGTGCCAGCCCTGGACAGACGGTAAACGGGAGACACGTAAATACCCAGATGATGTTAACACAAGCAGAAGGCATGAGTTGCCACCTCACAAGAAGTTGTGCTGTGCTGATGGAAGAGTATGAGGCCTTTCACAGTAGATTTTGTGGAGGTCTCTGCGGTTGGGTGGGGACAAAGTTAAGAGGGGAAGATTTGAAGTGTTGGTGGGGAGGCGGAGGCCCATCTTCCCCACACAGCTCTCCCCAGCCCCCCATCAGCATCCTGTGGGCCGAAAGCTGGCTGCTTGGCTAGACCTGCTGTCTAGGTCTAGCCTAGGGTGAGCGTTTGGCACACAGGATGCTGAAGGGGCCAGGCCAGGCAAAAGGGAGGCCATTTCTCCTGTTCCTCAACCCTCACTCCACCGCAGGCTTCTGCCACGCCTGGGGAGCCAGGGAGGCCTAGGGAGCAGAGAGCACTGGGAGGCTCACCCAGCGCAAAAGACAGGTCTGGCCTTTGTGGAAGCCCCTTCCTGGGCCGCACTCAGAGCCCGCTTGGCCAGAAGCTCAGCACGCCATCTCTCACAGCCCACCTTGAGGCGCTGGGGGTGAAGGCGGTGGGAAGGAAGGCTCGCTGGGGCTCACATGGGAGGCAGTGCCTGCCTAACACTTCTCCACAGCTTAGCTGCCACGTGCGGAGCTTAGCAATGGAAGAGGGATGACGCTATTGGGGTTTCATCTGTGTCACTTCAGACGGAGCGTGCCCCTGCGTGTTTGCCTCGTAAACTATTCCTGATTACTGTGCCACACAGGGCCTTTCAGGGGACAGCTATCCCACAGTTGAGCCTGGACAGCCCCTGCTGATGTTAACTCAAAACTCAAAACCTCCCCACTGTCTTCCCTGCCCTGCCTTTAGAATCCAAATAAATGAAGACCCTTGAGTGTGTCTGAGAGGATGGTTGATTCGCATGGCCTCATCCCTCCTGCCATGACCTCTACACTGAAGTTTCAACTTCAGAGAATGAGTGGTGACTCAGTCAGCGTTAAGAATACATTTTCCAGTAAAAGGGAAATCTGTCATTTGCATCCAAATGCCCCTGGGCATGTGAAAATGTAAGAGGTAAGAGGGACGGCCCTCAGTGCTGGAGAGGACGTGGACAAGAGCACTCACAGGGGCTGCTGATGGTATCACGAGACACTACAGCTGTTTTCCTTTTGGAAAAACCATTTGGTAACATCTAGTAACATCTAATATAAATCACACGCTCTACCTCAGCAATCCAGGGAATACGCCCCTATAAAATAAAAGCATTATTGCAAAAGAGTAAGTATACAAAGATGATTCTTTCCATTTCATTTGGGACAAATAAAAACTGGAAACAACCCCAAGCGCATTGATAGGGAATTACTAAATAAAAATGTGATCTATACATGCCCTGAAATAATATCACGTAGCCATCAAAAGAATGACTCAAGAGAATGATTTAGTGAGATTGCCAGGAAATCCCTAGGGAGGAAAAGGTGGATGCAGGGAAGAATTTAAAATATGATCCTATTTTTGTAAGGCAAGTAATCCCCCTGCAGAAAACCACATACCTGGCTAGGGCTGAGGGCACACGACCGCGTGAACAAGCCAATGCCACCGTAGAAGGAGACACGCCTCACCGCCAATACTGGGCATGAGCGCTAAGAAGCAAATGTTTCCTTGGAAAAGGAACTAGTTTTACTGAAGTAAGGAGAAATTGAAACAAAAGAATTCCTCCTTTTATTTTTTATTAATTACCTTGACTGTTAAAGTTCAATAATAACTGTCAAAGTTATAGTACATTGGAAAACACCAAAGAATCCGTATTTTTATTCATTCTTGCACTCCCTAATTTCAAAAAGGATTTGGGGCAGGTGACAAAGCGACACACACAAAGGGAACAGTACAAAAGGGCAAAGCAGCAATGGAATGGGGAGTGGGGACAAATCACAATAATCAGGACCATCAGGGTGGGGACAGCACCTGTCAGCGTTCAACACACATTTCCACTGGAGCCGAGTCATTTGGTTCTACGTCAAGACTTGATGGTACTGCGTCCTTCATCTTACCTGATGTGTTATCACCTCTTTCTATTTTTCGTTTTCCAATCACTCCAGGTAATTTATTTTCTCCTCTCTGTTTGCCTAACATTGCCATTCACCACCCGAGCGCCACCATGCTGCTCTGGCTGTGGGTTCGTGGTGTGACCACCCAGGCTGCTGAGCAGGACACTTATGTGAGAGCACGCAATCTCCACTCGTTTAGACTTTTTTCAAGGAAGTAGAGTTTGTGCAGTAGCTAGACATATTATCAGTTCCTACACTTAAAAAGATGTCATTTCAAGCATAGGTACAACAAGGTTATCGACTTCCTCCGGCATGACCCTATGGATCACTTTGTTATTTAATTAATTTATTGAAAAGCATGAGAACAATACTTCCTTCTCCTCCCCAAACTCTTGGTTTTTAATTTTTTTCTCAAGGTCCCAGAACTTGGCTGGCTTCTCAAAGTGTCAGAATCCCAGAAGCTGATCTTCAGTTTTTACTGTGACCCACTCCCGCCGCCCTGCCCGGGGGTGGGGGGTGCAGTTTTCCCACAAGCTTTGTTCCTGGTCACCTAGGTTCTGAATTCTGGATTCCTGCATCCTCATGGTGATGTCCTGTGTTTCCCATCCTTAGGTCGTAGCGGAGGAAAAAATTGCAGAGATGGAGGAATGTGACTCACCCATCTTTTTGGAATCAAGAAGGTTTTCTTTCTCAAAGGCAAGAGCCTCTTCCTCCCAATAGGCTTATCAGCTATTAGATACATACCGGCCAATTTATAATTACTGATTCCAATAAGTAAAATAAAGTGATATGAGAATAGACCCCATTAGAATATTTGGAGTGCATGACACCAGCAGCATTCACGTACGAGGGGAAAGAATGGGTTATATAATAAAGGTACTGAGATCACTGGTTAGCTATTTGGAAAAAAATTAAGTTTTAGCCCTTCACATCTCACATGGAAAGAAAGTCCAGGTGTCTTAAATAAGTGAATATTTTAAAAAATATACTGAAAGCAAGAAACCAGGAGGTCAGTAATTGAATGAATAATAAACTCTAATAAAAATTAAATATGAGGGGTGCCTGGGTGGCTCAGTTGGTTAAGCGACTGCCTTTGGCTCAGGTCATGATCCCAGGGTCCTGGGATCGAGTCCCGCATTGGGTTCCCTGCTCAGCAGGGAGTCTACTTCTCCCTCTGACCCTCTCATGCTCTCTCTATCTCATTCTCTCTCTCAAATAAATAAATAAAATCTTTAAAAATAAAAAAATAAAATTAAATATGAACTTGTTTCTAATACAGATTGGAGTTGTTTAAACAACAAATTTTAAAAAGGAATGCATTTTTTAAAAAGGCATTAGACCAGATAGATCATCCCAAATATAATATTTCAGATAGATGAGAGTACTGATAAATGGTGTCACCATTGCCAAGGGCAATTTGGTAACAGGTATCAAGAGCCTTAGAGTGGTGTATACTTTTTGACCCAGCAAATTCACTTCTATCAGTCTCTCATGAAAAGGTTACTATGATTATAGTAGGGTTATACTATAATATTATATGTTGATCATGACCTGAGCCGAAGTCATGAGTTGCACACTTAACTGACTGAGCCATCCAGGCACCCCCATAACTTTTTTAAAATAGTAATTCCGGGCGCCTGGGTGGCTCAGTTGGTTAAGCGACTGCCTTCGGCTCAGGTCATGATCCTGGAGTCCCGGGATCGAGTCCCGCATCGGGCTCCCTGCTCGTCAGGGAGTCTGCTTCTCCCTCTGACCCTCCCCCCTCTCATGTGCTCTCTCTCTCTCTCATTCTCTCTCTCTCAAATAAATAAATAAAATCTTTAAAAAAATAAATAAATAAAAATAAAATAAAATAGTAATTCCTTCCTTGTCATTATACATTCTCATATATATCTTTTTTTCAAAACTGAAATTGCTTTATGGTTTTGTCTGACTATACATGTAACACACAGATGCAAGTAATCCAAATGCACGGACAAGAAGGTAAAAGTCGGGGCGCCTGGGTGGCTCAGTTGGTTAAGCGACTGCCTTCGGCTCAGGTCATGATCCTGGAGTTCTGGGATCGAGTCCCGCATCGGGCTTCCTGCTCGGCAGGGAGCCTGCTTCTCCCTCTGACCCTCCCCCCTCTCATGTGCTCTCTCTCATTCTCTCTCTCTCAAATAAATAAATACTTTAAAAAAAAAATTAAGAAGGTAAAAGTTACCTGTGATCTGCCACCGAACATCACAGGCTCATCATCTCCAGCTGCTCTGGGGGTTTCACTCTGAGTCCAGGGCCCTTCGAAAGGCATCTTAGCTTCAGAGGCGAGCTCATCCAGACCATCTCCCGCAGCTGCAAAATCTCCTCTGAGATGAGAAAAATTATCATCAAATAACAAGCGATAAACATAAATTTTAAATTTCCAAACTATAAATGAGACGATCTACTTTGTACAACTATTTTATTGTATTTTATTTTATTTTTTTTAAAGATTTTATTTATTTATTTGAGAGAGAGAGAATGAGAGACAGAGAGCATGAGAGGGAGGAGGGTCAAAGGAAGAAGCAGACCCCCTGCCAAGCAGGGACCCCGATGCGGGACTCGATCCCGGGACTCCAGGATCATGACCTGAGCCGAAGGCAGTCGCTTAACCACCTGAGCCACCCAGGCGCCCCCTTTGTACAACTATTTTAAAAAGTTGTCCTGGGTCTGACCACGCACGTGCACACGTATGCACACGTTTCTACTTGTTTCCAGAGAAGGGTAGCCCACTCCAATCTCACTAAAAGTTTTAAGTGACCAGATGACCCATATCTTCACACATTGTTTATTGACATTTGCCCTCACTTGCCAGCCACCATCTCTATTTATCAAACACTTGTCATGTGCTTGGTAATCTATGGTTTTACCTGCATTCTCTCAGTTAATCCCTTATGCACGCATGCACTCTTGCCATTGTACAAGCAAGATGCTAAGCCTAAGCATCATCAAGCCACCAGGCTATAAAGCAAATGGCAGAGATAGGACTCTCCTGACAACCACCACCCAGTGATATCCAGTGAGATGTCCTGTGCCCGCACCCCAACCCGTGGGGACAAAAGAAAGAGCAATTTCATCTTAGGTCCTGCAGAAGCTCGCCTAGTCTTATCACCATATGAAAGCCCAGAGTTCATGATTGTTACATAATAGCCATCCTTTTGGGCTCTGTCTCTACTCCGGTTGTGGCCGAAGCAACAGCAAACTGCAACTGAAATGAAAAATTCTTCGCGATTGGTAAAATCTGATCCTTTAGAATTTAGATCTCTATGTTGGGAAAAGAAGTTAGTCTAATTCAGCTCCCAAAATGATACTTGGAGACCCTCAGTGACAGCCCTGCCAAATGCTCGTCCTCCCCACATTTAAATTCGTAAAACTCACATTCTCTAATTCTACCGCAAAGTGTTTTTCTCAAAGTCCCAGTGAGCTTCCAAGAACCCCTTCTAAAGCAAGTCTACTCAATGGCTTACACTTGACCGCAGTTTCAAATCATTAGTGCAGCAAGATGAGCTTTCTGCTGCCACAAAATTCACATGGACATCCACGTGTGAGCTTTTCCATGGCCAGTTCCCTCTCTTTCTAGTCCACTCGAGGAAAGCTACCTGAATACAAGTAAGCAAGTGATGCTATATGTTATGGTAATAGCCTTGAACTCGCTCCGCTGATTTTAAGGAAGTGGGTATTTCTAATTGCTACACTTCACACCCGGCAGTGACAAAGTAAGGTACCCCCACAGAGAAGGTTAAGAAGGTAAGCTGGGGTTCTTTCCAGGTGACAGGGCCCAGGCAATGCCTCTCTTCCTGTGTCATCTGCTTTCCCAGAATGTCTGTTGGTGCCCCTGGCCCAGAACCAGTGCCGCTTTTAATGGTATCATTACGATCAGCAGTTCCTGTTTCCTCTTCATTTACAAACCCACAGTTATCACACAGATTCTTAGAATATTTCATTGTTTGCAAGAAAGTCATTATTCTAGAACTGCTCCTTGTTTTGTTTTGTTTTGTTTTGTTTATTAGAAGGAGCAATTTGGCTTTATAACTCCATCACCCTGCCCCACAACTTGGGGAGGCGTCGCTGGCTAGCCCAGGGGACAGGTGTGACCTGCCTTCATTCCCATGGCCCAGATGGACTCCTCTGACAACAAGGGGCAGAGCTAAGAAGACAGCATGGGCCCTGGTATTGCCTGCACAGCGCTCCCCCACAAGACCACACTTCCTTTCAGTCTTTCAAGGGTACCTCAATATAACATAAATGAGACTTTCTAAAAACCACCTAAAAATGCAGGTGTCTGAGTCGGCTTGGTCTACAGATTTATCAAAGCCTCGAGGAGCTGTCTTGGATGTTTTCCTCCAAAAACTCCAGCCGTCGGTATCCACACATCCAGGTACGTGCTCCCATTCGTGACTGTATTGTGCCCGGTGTCCCTTCCTTGAGGACAGGGCGGCACTGTTCTCCATGGTGTGTCTTTGGCCGTGGCTGGCACGCACATGCTGAGTCAGCCAGCCTGATAGAGTCAGGGAACGGGCGATAAAGGGCTGGGGGGGGATGGGCTGGAGGCTAGCCGCTAGGAAGGGAGTGGCCTTTCCTGGGAAGCTTCTGCCCCTCTGGTTACGGTCTGCTGACCATGCACACTTGGAGGTGGCAGGCGAGAGTGGATCACTGCACTTTTCTTCTCCTGCGTTGCTTCTGCATGAATTTTGCTGTTTTCCTTCTAGAGGTGTTTGGCCCCCCGGGGAATCAACCAATAGGAGGCCTAGTTGGCTGGAGCCCAGGCTGCCAGGGCTAGGGTCTCTCTCAGAGCCTCGGGACATCCACCTGGCACGGGGCTCTTCCCACTTGGGACGTGCTGAGTGGTGCCTGCCACGGCAGTGGTTCTGAGTCTGGTGTGATCACAGCAACCGCAAGCGAGCCACAAGCCTCTGTTTTTGCGTGCCTGGGGTTTGCTGCAACGGTTACAGAAGCCAGGGCTGCGCTTCCAATGGGGTCAGATTGAAATGTGCAAAGAATCCCCGAACGTGGGACTTTTTCCCAAAGGAGTTAAAGGGAATAGACCAAGGAGGGGCGGGAGAGGAGCTGATGCGGGCAATTGCCCCCAACAAGCAGGGGGAGTCAGGCAGAACTGCTGTCACCCCAGGTCCCCCGTGCACACCTGCCCTTTTATGTGGGGACGCTATGTAGGGCAGCCCCTCTCTGCTCCAGCAGTGCCCCCCACCCCACCCCTACCCCACTGCTTGGGCCTGAAAGAACAAGTTCATTTACAAACACAGACGCAGTGTCATCCCTGCTCCTCGGCCTGCCCACAGCCGCCGGAGGCACCGTGGAGGGTCAACACTGACGGGGCCCAAAGAAACTACTCAGACTTTGGAAACCCAGTCTGGAGATTAATCCTCAGGAAATATGACTCTCAGTGTTATCAGCACTGTTCAATAACATTATTTATGTATTTAAGAAATATCGAAAGCAACCTAAATGATTGACAGTAAGAGGCAATTTTAATAAACTGTGGTCCATTTACTTGGTAGACGATTATTCAAAGCTCAGAAATGGAGGTCATAAAGATTTTGGAAGAGACTCAGAATGTTTATGCAAATAATCAAGGAAAAACAGGACCTAACATTGCATTTGCAGGAAGTAAGGTCAACACAGGGCTCAGGAAAGAAGCACAAGAAAGCACATTTGAGTGTGCTCTGGAGGGAATCTTCTTGTCATCTTCTGTGGCAGACTCTGCTCCCTCCTTTGCTCCTGCCTCCAACCACAGGCCTCAGGCCTCTGTCTCTCTTCCCTGGGGCCCTGCTTCAGGCCCTCAGGAGAGAACGTTGGGGGTAAGGATGGGGTCAGACATTTTCTCTTCCCATTTGCTCATTCAGTGGCAGGTTCACTCCGCACTCACTTACTTGCTCCTAGACCTTGGGCCAGTGGCTTCTTGCCCCCAGGCCTCAGTCCCCACGTCTACACACTGGAGAGAACAGTCGCACACACACACACAAACACACACACTCTGGAAAAGGTCCCTCCCCCTCTTTCTGCCTGGATCCTCAGGGCTCCCTCTCAGCCTTCCTCCCAGATCATTCCCCCATCCATCCACAAGACCCCACGGGCTTCTCAGTCCCCACTCCTCACACTCTGCCGTTCTTCCTCTGTTTTCCCTGTTACCTCTGTCCCACCACGCTGTCAACCTCAGAGAACACATGTGTCTCTTGAGCATCGCTTGCCCCTCCGCCTGGCACAATACATATTAAATAAATGAGCAAATAAACATTGTGTCTAAAATGAAAACAAATCAGGGACTTGGTCCTTATTCCCAAAGAGCTTTAAGAGTGGTTGTGGGAAAAGGACAAATATTGTATGATTCCCCTTATGCAAGGTTCCTAGAGTAGGCAAATCCACGGAGACAGAAGAGACAGAAGCAGAGCAATGGAGGCCAGGGGGAGAGGGGTGGAGGTAAGGAGGAGCTGGTGTTTAATGGGGACAGAGTTTCAGTTTGGGAAGATGAAAAAGTTCTGGAGACGGATGGTGGTGAGGGTGGCACGGCATTTTGAATGTACTTACTGCCACCCAATTGGACACTTAAAAATGGTTAAAAAACGGGGCGCCTGGGTGGCTCAGTTGTTAAGCGTCTGCCTTCGGCTCAGGTCATGATCCCAGGGTCCTGGGATCGAGCCCCGCATCGGGCTCCCTGCTCGGCGGAGAACCTGCTTCTCCCTCTCCCTCTCCCCCTGCTTGTGTTCCCTCTCTTGCTGTTTCTCTGTCAAATAAATAAATAAAATCTTAAAAAAAAAAATGGTTAAAATGGTTAGCTCAGGGTTATATCTATTTTGCCACAATTAAAAATTGTTTTAAATAATTATGGAGAAAGAAATAAACATAGTGAACTATTGGAGAATGACAAGACAATGTCTGAATAAATGGCATAGACCGTATCAGGCGAGGACTGACACACAGAGCTCGGTCCAGCCCCTAGAAAGAAAAACGTCCAGCCCTGAGGGCTGTGTGGGGGGCGGAGTACAGCTTTGCACTGAGCATCACACCCCCAGAAGGGAAGTGAGTTATTTTCAAGCCTTCCATTTGTAAAAGTAACAGAACTGTGGTACTATATGTTACAGAAATTTAGACAGTAGCAAAAAGAGCAAGGGAAAGGAATCTTGATGCATTTTCTTCTAATGTTTTTTAGATATACTTACATAGTTGTACTCACGTGGAATGTATGTTTTTATAAAGTCTACTCTAAGCATTTTTCTTGTTCCTACCTAGTTTTCATAATTCTAATACTTTGAAACTTTAATGTCTAAAATTGCTTTGAGTGGATTATCATACTTTACTTAAATAATCTGTT